CTCATTTCCAAAAGGTACAAAAGCCCCATTCAATGCCAAGAGAAACTGTGGCTGATGAACACAGCTGAAATCCAAGTCACTTAAGCATACTAAATTCTACTTACCACCATTAAAGCGCTAACACAGTAAAACAACACATAAATAACCCTATAGTTTTGGACAATTCACTAACAACCAGCAAAAGGAATATAAGTGACAGGTTTTTTTCCAGTACAGGAACCTAATGCTCATCCTCACAGAAGACAGTTTTTACTTCGGATTGAAATGACCTAGGAAAGCACCATGCCACTTACTAGTAATGTTGTATAACAATTTAAACAGGGAGTAATGAATATCATATCCAAACAAAAATGCTGGAGGACTTTAAAATATCTAAATTTATTATCTAAAATATTTGTATTTACACAAACTGGTGTTTAGCTAAAGAAGACTTGCATATCAATGCTTTGGGGAAATACACTGAACTCTAAGGAAAGCAATAATGAATTTGCTTCTAAAGATCTTCTGAAAAAAAAAGAACAGCACAAATGACTCTGTGTGAGTCACCAACAGACTGATTCAACAACTAAAAGGGAAAAATACTGACTGCTTGCAGAGTTGCTTCTAGTTGCTTCTAAGGGTATTTTGAAGCCCTAGTACTGAAAATGGGGAAATTACTTTTCCAGCCTGATTCTCCTCTGAACAAGCAAAGAGAGCTATGTATCTCAAATCAGGACTACACGCAGAGCACTTATCTTCCATGCCCAGGGGAGTGCAGTGGCCCACTGTTTCAGACACACAGTAATAAAAACAGGGTTGAGAACAATTAGCACATGGCACTGTTCTGTCTACTTGGTAACATCACTACAAGTTGTAAAGGGTATCTTTTAACATACAGTGTGTGTTGAGTGCTCCTTCAAGGAGCTGTTAGGGTCATTCTTGCATGATTCTTCTTTCCCATCTTGGATGGCCAAGCTCTGACATCAGTCACTTCATTTTTGAGTGCCACCTAGAACACGCAGGTATTCACCTTCAGTGCCATATTAGACTGGGGATCTTGACATGGCAGATACTCAAAAAGGCCCATTCAAACACGTCAATTAGAAGTTTTTCTTTTTTCAAATGACCATACAGAGATTCTTGGCATTTCAACTGGTACCCGAATAACATGCCCACCATTATGCTATACTTTAAAGCACTACCTGTACTGCACATACACTGACAAGATGCTTGTGCTGGCACAGATCCTCACCCTTTGCAGGCTGTGTTTTAGCTTACTCCTAACATGCAGGCACACCGCACCATACACATTCAGCTGTATGTGTCAGACCCACTATACAAGCATAGTGTCTCTCATGTTTGCAGAGTAGGACCAACGCTTTCTAAAAATACTGGACTCACTGCACATGGACACTGGAAAGTTAACGCTACAGAGGTGCTGCATCTATGGCAACCTGGTCAGAATTATTTCCTCTGAGCAAAAATAGGAAAGCTCCAAATTCTACTCAAAATACATCATGAGAACAAGGAGGGGTGGGGGAGGAAAACACCAACAAAAAAAAAAAAAAAAGCACCACCCAAACCCTCACAGAAACACAGCACTTTTCCCAGGGAATCCCAGAGAAATGGCAATCCCTCCTCACGAATGATCTTTGGAGACAAAATCCAACTCTTCAGGTTCAACCCTAAACCTGTTTTGTTCATTATGTAATTTCTAACATCGATAGCAAATTAAGCATGAATTTTACAGCCTGCTTTAACCATGCAGCCCTGATTCAATTTCATTCTTTGTGCTGAATGAAACAACTGCTCTAGGGGAAAAAAGCTGCTGGTGAGTCATCAAAGACTGCATCATAGCACATATTAGGGGAATGGAGAGAAACAAAAGGTTTCTTAGGCAACCTTTATTCTGCAACTTCCTCACATTTGAGCATTTGAGTTCTAGTATTTTTTTAACAAAAGAAATAATGCTGGGTTTTTTTTAAATATACAGTTTCTGTCATTTTAAACTTCTGAACCAATTATAGTGATGGTGCTTATTTTATATACCCTCTCTAATGCAAATATTTTTACTGATACTTTTCATAACGAGAAGGAAATAAAGAAAAACTAGTTGAACGTGGCTGTACCTTAGAGACCAATTTACCAAACACTGTAAAGTATTTGCTCCATAAGAAACATTATGTTGCTGCATGTAACTATTATCCTAACTGCATTAATTTCATAGTAGGTAAAGTCACATGACATTACTAGATGGCTAATTTGGGTTTGTAACCTAGCAGATATAAATCACTGAATGTTAAATTTGTAAAGTTTTAAGTAACTGTATCTTCCCCTGTAAAAGACTGCATCAGCCTCTCTGCTCCTTTTTTCCATCCCCCAAACTCCAATGAGGGGTGTTGCTTTAAAGGGTACATGTCTTTTCCTCCTGGAAAATAATGGAGAAAATTAAAGTTTCAACCGCAGCTTTCAGCTACTTAGGGCTGGAGGTATTTCCTAATACCTTCTCATTTCATCCTTCTCTTTGAAAAATAAATCAAGAAAAGGAAGCCATCTGTTGTAGGTAAAAAACATAGCTTAGATGAATAAAGAGACATAAGACAAAACCCACTAATTACAAAGTGCTGTGCTCCCTCACATTCACTACTGAGACTGGGAAAGTCAGCTACTTGGAGTGCCAGAAAAGAGGCTGCGAGGACTGCTGACTGAGCAGCTGCACAGTACACATGAAAAACTTTCTGCCCAACCCTCCTGACAGCAGCAATCTCCCTCCTGGCAAGGGAATCTGAGGCCAAATGAACCTAACACTGCTGGCAAACCCTGTCTTCCTGCCAGCTGGGGATTTCTTGGAAGGAAATCCTTCTGGAGGTACTCAGAGCCAGAGGAAGTTGCAGGATGCTCCACTCTTCCCACACCAATGATCAAAGAACCAGGACAGGAGATGGTAGGAAGCAGGATGCACCCAAGAGCATGCTTATCCGCTAGTATGCATTCAACTAGAATTTATCAATTTTATCCATGTAAATTATTTTAATAATCAGGATATTTTTAATTCAACAAGTAGTATTCAGGAATACAGAGAAAAGTGTTTGGCATTTGAAAGTTATCTGTGCAAATACTTATTCGAGCAACCTTCATTTACACTTCATCAATGCTGAAATCCTCTTCATCCTGCCGAAATATTGAATGGTCCAATCCTTACATAAACAGCATATGTACTGAAAGTTTCTTAAAAAAAGAAAAGTAAAAAGCTGGTGACAAAGAAAACCAAACCCAACCCCTCAAAACAAAAGCACACCCCTAGACTCTGTACTTTCTGTACAGGTGTAATCAGAAGACCTCAGAATAATAAAGAATAAATGTAAGCAGTTCTGGAAGTCTGACCCACACTCAAATGTCCTTTTCATTAACAGCATGCAATGCATAATAAATACTTTCGTCCCAAATCAACAAAATATTTAAGTATACTTGAATCTTTTCTTTGATTACAGCTATTTTCTTAAATTTAGCTTAATGCTGTCAGGTTCACTAGCAGGTTTCAGGTTTTTTGAAACAGTTATTTCATTTTCTTTGAATTTACTGCTGTACTTCGGTTTTTGATATAATTTGAGTCATGAGGAATGTTTTCATAGAATCGAGTAGGCTGGAAAAGACCTCCAAGCTCATCAAGTCCAACCATTACTCCAGGACTGACAAGACCATCATTAACCCGTATCACTGAGGGCCTCATTTGCACTGCACTGTCTTTGAACACTTCCAGGGACAGTGATTCCATCACTGCCCTGGGCAGCCTGTTCCAATGTCTGATTACCCTCTCTGTGAAGAAATTTTTCCTAATAACCAATCTAAACCTCCGCTCGTGCAGCTTGAGGCTGTTAAAATGTCTTCTAACAGTTATCTGAATCACTAACCAGTCAAGCCACAAAATGCTGACTCCATTCATTGTAATTTCCATCTTAGAGGAGGAATTCAGTTATAAACGAAAGATATTTCTGTAATACAAGATTATAGGCTACTACAAGAACAACAACCAGCTTACAATTTTTAAAGCCTAGATAGTTTTCAGAACTGCATGTTTTCATAATCAATATCAGGAAGTACAACATATATATAGAGAGAAATCAACTAAGAAACAAAACAAAAAAGCTGTCACTGTCCAACTGTCCACAGGAACCATGTCTAGTCACGTTTTCAGTCAGTCAGTCAGCTAGCTGGGGGTCATGTCATTATTTAGTTTCTGCAGAAAAAACACAAGTACAAAAATAGTATCAAAAAGCAACATACCTGTTTTTATTTTAAAATACATCACTATAAAACATAAATGTTACAGCATATAAGACTTTTAATATCTTTAGAAGAATATGAACATTTTATATACGCTTCTCTAGCTTTTAAACAAGTACCTCCTTTGCTTAGCAGTATGTGAAAGCCAGCTACTTTCCTGCAGTATGCTGTTAATTCAAAATTATTTTGAATTAACAATTATAATAACAAATTATGTAAAATATATATAACAATATATAACAAATATATAATACATATATAAAAATTACTATAACAAATATAATATTTAAATATATTTTTATATTTATAAAAATGTATCTTTTAATTCTGGAGTATATTTCAACTATGACAGAATTACTTTTTGAAATAGTTTTGGACATAAGTAAATCATTATAGGTATACATGTTAAACTTCAGAATTTCAATAAAGTTTTAGCTAAAAAAACAAAACAAACAAAAAAAAAGAATGCAAATCAAATCAGTGATACAGGACTTTTTCAGGGCAGGGATAATAAAAGACACCAAAAAAGTATTTCATGACAGAATAAAATTTTCAGTACCAAACATTATCAGAAGGGGAAAAAGGCAATGAATCCATCTGCTGTGTGTTAACGTCAATTAGCAACGACTATAGACAGCCACAGAATCCTGCCCTAGACAATCTGTGTTTTGCATTTCTAATGTAGTGCTAAATTAGAAGCTCTACTTTCCAAGGACTACTTGAAAGCTTTGGGGTGTTTGCTTTTTTGTTGTTATTGTTTTGTTTGCTTTTTGGAGGGGAGGGGTATTTAAATAGAACTATTAGGTTGCAATAGAAGTAAATCAGAATTCCACAATATATTCTTCTGACAGATACCAATTTTTTTCCTTCCTCTTCTATTTGAGTGATGTAATTTACACAGCAGGCACCAGACAACTGCAGTGAGGTTCTCACTAAATACTCAAAGCAATGCAAAAACCTGAGTAGAAAGCACAAGCTGGTCAACACCAAGAACATTAAGATAGCTTCTGCTTTTAGCAACTGCCTAGAAATAAACAATGTAGCTGTCTTCTCAAGCCTATACTAACTCAAACAAGATTATTTAGAATTCTTATTTCAACCACAAATACTTACTTAACATGAGCAGAGAACCTCGTTCCTCAAAAAAATTTACATTAGAACTTAAAAGTAGTTAAAAGAATGTTTGCTATTGGTCTGTATTTACATCATTTCTCTGCTACTTTTAACTACTCATATAAACAACTGAAGTTTCATTGACTTGCAGAAGAGCCAGAGCATGCAAAATTTATTAGACAGATTAGTTTAAAATTAGAATTAACAAACATGTATTAAAATTCTCCTGATAATCAGGTTATTGTAAGATGAGACTGTTGTTATGATCAGAAGTTTACATTACAAGAGTATTATCAGTATTATTCATAAAATACTTAAGAAACAATTTTGTAAATTATATTAAAAAGATGATTTACATAAGAGAAAATACGGGGGAAATAAAAAATTCAGATAAAAGCTGCACTGAAATTATAAATATTTCAATTTAAAAATTAGTCAATTGAATTAAATTTATTCTCACATAGATTTTACTGCTTTCACAGACCTTAGCATGGATTTTAATCAGAGAACCTTCCACAGAAAGGACTACTGCAGAAATCCAGTCACCTTGTTAGAGATAAACAGCAAGCAATACTATAAGACTTAAGAAAGGATTTTCCTGTTTTTTAAGAGACAATGACTTCCTTCCGTGAAAACTCACTGGTACTATTTCAAAGGTAGAGAGAATTCCATCCCCCTTCACATACACAATTTAAAGCTTTTAATTGAAAGCAAAACATAAGCCTCTAAACTACATCAAAACTGGAATGTCTGCTGGTCCAATGCAGAGCCACACAAGCCCTTTGAAAAGGAGCACGATGGAATCTTTCTTTTTAAGGACCATTTCATCTTAATTTGTGAAACTGGCTAAAAGACCATAAGACAGCAAGTAATTTTGTCTTTCTGTTCTAAGAAGAAATAGATCCTAAGACAACCTGCTAGAGACTCAGAATTGGGAACTTTATGTACAGGATGTAACAAGATAGAACACAGTAAATTTAGAAAGCTCTTCTACCTGTGTTATTGCACAGAGACAGCAGATGAAAGGCTAATCAGAAGGGAAATATTCAGCAGTCATTTGTACCAGAATTCAGCAGTCATTTGTACGAGAATTACAAGTAATCTGTCCAAAAGAGATTTGGGACATCTGCTTTTGAACAAACTAAAAATAGTACTCCTTATAATTTAAAAGTTTACAGAAATGCAACAACCTAGGAAAGGACAAAGTGCTCTGCTGTAGTTTTGCAGATTATTCTTGAAATACAACCTTGTTTCTCCAGTTCTCTAATTAGGTAAAATGGCACAAGAGCAAACAGGTACATCTTCCCCTTACCTTATAAGGGAGTTCAGATTTCTAAATAGTCAATAATAGGTATATACATTATTTGAAACATATGTGAGTTTTAGCCTTTTGAAAATGCAATTTTGGACCAACTGCACCTTTTGTCACCTGCAGACTCCGAAGAATTTTCTCAAAAAAAAAACAAAAAAACAAACACAATCACACTAGAAAAATGGGTTCTTGTGTATGTGTGTACACACACGTGTGAATTGAAAAAAGAAAAATAAAACATCGTTTACACTGACAATCAGAAGAGAACCTCCCAGTCTTCTCACTCTTATCTTTCTTAAAACCAAAAAAAGAATAAGTGAGAATAAATTACCTTTCTAGTTTTGGATGCATATTGCATCTACACTTTTCTAGTAACAAGTGGTCAAGACAGACCTGACATTACATTACACTTTACATCAGTTTTCCCTGGTAGTGACAAAGAAGCTGGTCTTTTATTACTGGAAGTAAGCCACATTAAAAACAAACAAAACCTCTGCAGAAAGGTAAGAGCATGTGTACAAGTTACTTAAAATTGCATTCACCAGAGCTAATGACGGGAAAAAAAAGTTTCAGATTAGTTTTAGCTACAATTCAGTTCAGAAAAAGAATTATAGAAAACCATTCTTTTTAAAAGCAAGTTGTATGTAAGACTAAGGACAGCTTTAGTAACTGCTGCTTATCAAATGAACAACATGAAAAACACACTCTGGGCAAAATCTTTGCAGATCTTTGCAAGTCCTGAATCATAAGGAGTCTCTACACAGAGAAAGATACAAGGAATAAAGCTTAGAAGGAAAAATATTGATGCCAGGAGAGTAAGGATTTCATGTGATGTTTTTGGAGTGAGTTAAACAAAAACTGCACATCCCCTGAAAAGATAATATGGCTAATGAAATTATTTGGGAGGTACAGTAATATAACAGGAGTTATTTTGTAGAAAACAGGGCTCAGCCTTTCCTCCCCCAACTATAGTTCTCTTTTGGTAATAGTTCTAATTTTTTTTTAATTATTATTATTTTTAAACATTATTTGAATCAAACCAAAGTTTTAAAGAACACATGAATTTTGGTCCCTGAAGTCTATAAAACCTCTGTAGGTGCTCAGCCAGCTTTCACATGCCATAAGCATCAATTAGTAAATTCTCAAACTAATTATTTTAAACATAACCTCAATCCCTCCACAATAAGCTCGGCAGTATTTTCTTCACTATCACATATTCTAGCTACACCTGATTTCTGAGAATCCAGATGCCTCAAATATCCAAAACCTTCATTTTTACATGGCAACCTTCCCATGTCCTTTTTTTATCTACCCCTTTCCTACTCTGCCCTTCAAGGGCTGAATTCTGCATCTTTATCCAACAACAGTGTAAGGGCATTTCTTTAATGAAAGAAAGACACACACAAGCTGTGCTCAGTTCTATTGTTTATTTCTTTTTCCCAATGTTAACTGATACTCTTATGTACAGAAAGTATTTCTATGAACATCCAGATTGATGTTAATCCACTGGTTCATATTTGTTTAAAAATTATAAAAATAGGCTTCTACTAAAATGTACATGTGCATATGTAAGCATACACACCTCCATATATACATATATGTATTCATACATATCACAAATTAAATTTCAAGCTGTTAGCTAAAAATAAAGTTTATCATTACAAGTTCATATCTAGCTTCAGAATACTTTACCTATCACTATTTCAAATAATTGAACTTCAGTTTAATTAACAGCTCAGACTGGTTACTCACCTCTCAGTAAGTTCTCTGACGTTTGTTAGATTCTTCTGAAGGCGAGTCTGCCAACCTTACTTTAAGCCTGACACCATTCACAATCTTCCCATGTAATGCAGTTATGGCATCACTGGCACTTGCTCTGTCTGCAAATTTTGCATAGGCCACATTTTTTCCAGCCACAAGGTAAACTTTTATCAACTGTCCAAAACGACTGGGTGGGGAAAAGAAAAATGAAAGAAAAAGATAATTTACAGGTTTTCCAGGTTTTCCTGCAACATAAATACCTATTAACCAATCCGAAGTATGTATGATTTCGTGGCTGCAAAAACTGTATTTTCATATTTTCTTGTGCTGCCTTCTTCTAATCCTCCCAGTTTTCATATTCCTTTTCCTAGAATTACAGCCAGGAATAGAAATAAAACCTAAATTTCATAGGCAGTGTTTTCTATGGAATATTACAATAGAACCACAAGCACCAGTGATTTCTCAGTTATTTAAAAGAATATGTAAAGCTAATCAATACCATACTCCCCAAAGACTAAATGGCACTCAAAAAATCCCACAAAACCAAGACAACAAGAACACACATACACAAAGTAGAAGATAATTTAAAGGCTGAACTTGTTTCTCATTTAAACGAACTTGCTCAGTTGTGATTAATCTTAGAAAAAGTCTCAGTGAAATGACTCGGAAAGCAAGCGCCAACGCCTTATGGAAAAACCCAGATTTCCGAGTCCTCAGGAGGTTCCGGGACAGGAATTTCCTCTTTCTTTTCCTCCCCTGGTGCTTCAAAAATATTTTTGCTTTCCAAGAGTTATTGAAAATGCCGGCTATTAGAAGAAGGAAATGTCTTTTTTTTTCAACAGCATACTAAAAATAAATCATACAAAATACTGGTGAACAGTTAAGCTATGGATCTGTTTTAAAGATGGCAAAAGTTGTCTCTGAAGTCTTTGGTCCTCACAGGGAGGTAGCACAGAAGGACAGCTGTAACAGTGTCAAGATGCAAACCATTAAAATGTCTCAGGATAGATCAGAAAAAATACCTCCCCATACTTACTCGACTAAGTTACTATGGAAATCTATCAAAATACTTAAATTCCTTAGAGAAATATGTACAAGAAAAGGCCAAATAAATTAGGCTGTGAGAAAGGAAAGTACTACATTTTTTGGTAAAAAAAAAGACAATTTACTTCAGATTATTAATTAATATTATTAACCAATGATAAAGCTACTGTACTGATAATATTGCATCTATGCTTCACAGCGAATTCCATTACACAGCTGTTTCAAAAAGCAACTGTTACCTATCGATCACTTATTAGTTACTGACCACTGTGCACTCTTTTCTGGAAGGAGTTTTCATGGTGAAAAGCTTTTTTACTTTCAACACTTACTTTCATGTTTGTTTTTTTTTATTAGAGAACACTTATTTGTAAATGGATTCTTACCAGAACACATCCTCCAATACATTTATAGGTAAAGGATGGGGATGAAAAAGTATGAAAAGCCTTTCCTTCACAGAAGTGTCAGGTGGAACTTTTTTTTTGGGTGGTGGAAGTATGGCATCTGTTTGGGGCTGAAGTAACTGTGAGCCACAAGTTCCCCCAAATGCCTGCTGAAAAAGGTAGAAAAAATGCAAGTATAAATTAACTGATGGGGGAGGGGGGCAGAGAGGAGCAGGGAAGTTATTTTGCCTTATTACAATCTTTTTTTTCTCCAAATCACAGGACACAAGCGGGCTCTACCAGTTCTGATCTCAATTTCTTTACTTTGGTTATTTCATTAAATTGCTCAATAAATCCAAGTGATGTCAGACACCTTTACAGGGAATAAAAGGTACATCTTAAACAGCAGCATCTAAAGGTACATCTTAAACAGCAGCATCTAAAGGTACATCTTAAAGGTAGCATCTAAAACAGTTACAGAAGACCGTGAGCAGTGATCTGTACTGACACAGCTGAAGTTTCTTACAGCAATTCAGAAGAATATGAACAGTATCCATTATATTAACTTACAGGAGGTGTCCTATATTGCTGAACAACTGCATTGTTATTCCGCAACACTGATGACACATGTGCTGTTACCAGCTGTGTTGCCATTTTTCTGATGAGGCTGCAAGCAGAAGTGATAATAAACTATTTAAAGAGTGAGCTAAATTACAGTACTCTTCAATTCAGCAAGAGAAAACAAGTTTTAATGCGCATCCAGAAGTATTTCTGGAAATCTATAAAATCATGCAGATAGAGAAAAAAAGTCAAACCAGGCTTTCATGACACTCTAGACATGACTTGAAAGCATACACACTACCTGCAACTCACTGAAAACACACACTTCTACGTAAAGTGATACAAAACTCTTCCTTGCTTTTTTAAATGCCTGGGTGAGAAGAAGGGAGGGAAACAAAAGGAAAAAAAAAAACAAAACACACTCTACAGAGCCCACTACATTTTGTGAAAGGAACCTAAAAGGCAGAAGGGACAGGAAAGTTTCACCTGTTTCCATAAAAAGTACAGAGATTCAATTCGTAAGTCAGAATATTATCACAGGAAGTTTACTTCCAGCACTCATTTTCCAGTGATTTTTCTTTCCTCTGACACGGAATAAGAAAGATCGCCCTTTTTGCATAGGTTCACAGCCTATGTTGTAGGGCCATGAAACAGTAGTAATTACTGAAGAATGAAGGCTGCAATAAATATTTATTTTTGTTTAGATTAGACATGTACTTCTAAAGTGAATCTCCCCTTTGTCCCTCCTTACTGTCCTCATTCATATCGCAGAGTAAGTTTGACAAACTAGATTCCTTTAGGATGAAACTTGGACAAAACATTCACTGCAGGAGTGTACCTACTTTTAAAGGGCATACAAATCACAGGAACAGATTAGAGACAGTCAAAGTAAAACATGACTATGCCCACACAGTTGGCTCTGATAGATCCTCAGCACCCAACAGTTCTACTCTACATATGTGCTTCACAAGGCTACTGTTTCCAGTACTGCAAGCATGAACAAGAGATCAAGCACATGAATCTCGTTTTTAACACAAAAGCCTCATCAAAAAACACATTCCAGCCTTGTTACATATTACAGACATTTATAAAAATTCTTGCAAAATACATTTTACAATCTATCTTAAAAATACATAGTTTAATCCTTTCTTTATCAAAAACTGGTACGTTTCAAAGGCTTATTCTACATCATTAGAAGACAAAACCAAAGAAACAAAACAAAACCACCTATATTTCAGAAAATACTACCTATAAGTATGAAACACTGCTGTTGGTTCTTAAGTTAAAAAATTGTGTGTTTATTTTAAATTTTGCTCTCCAGAACACAACTTACAACTTTGTATCTCTATGTATTGGTACTTACTCTGAGCTATCACTCCCATCTTCTAGGAAAAGGACAGTTAATCGATTTCCAGGAGGATACTCAAACCCATGCAATTTATACTTGGCATATATAGCTGATGCAGCGGTACTGTACTGAATCACAGCGTACCCTAAAATACAGTGTACACAGTTCCAGTATGATATCTGTAAATCTTAAGGACAAACTACACTCATACAACGCAATATGATTAAACTGCACATTAGTCATGGAAGATACAAAATTCTTAAGTCTTTTACCACACACTACATTAATCAGTAGTATTCATAAAGAAAACTTCAGTGACAAATCAGCAATAATTATGCTAACTTGGAAAGCTGGTAATAAAGCAACACAAGCAAAAACTTATTTTCTTCCCTACCCCCAAGTTAGGGACAAAGGCACATAGAGTTTCATTTTAAAATGCAATTATCCTATCAACAATTTTTAATTTTACATTTTAATTCTGTGAATCAATTTAATTTCAAGTGTCTTGCGAAGAGATATCTTCCACATTCTTCTCAGCAACAGCAAAACAATAAGACCGAAACAAAAACAATCCTTCCACGACAAAACATGATTTGTTTTGGATTTATTTTAAACCAGGTTATTAATGTCAGCTTCTACACAGACACACACCTCTCTCAAGAGGAAAACTCAAATGATCTGTTTAGAAAAACATTTAAACTATACATCTAATATTTTGAAACATTTTCTCCATTTATTTGGCCTCAAACTATTAACTTAATGTAACCACAAAACACTTCACATGGGTTTGATTCTGTCCTTCTTGACATTCTATCATCCAAAAACAAAGGTATTGAAGGCTTTCTGTAAACAGGGGTTCAAACAAAACTGAATTTCTGGGATTATGCATCAGCAATAGCAGCAACCACTGATACATAAAACATTCTTTCCAACAACTGTACTGTATCTTGCAATACAAATGAACTGAAGTACAACTAAAAGCAATTCCCTTAACAGAAAGAAAAAGACATTTTTGTACTTTTACTTACCACTGTTGGTATGAGGATCTCTCTGAACATCACAATATTCCAGTCCTGGAACTAGATCAAAGAGGGCAAACAGCTGCTCTTGGATAAAGGGAAGCCGTGATACCACTGACAGACGTTTGGAGACTGACTCTTGAATTCTGCACTCTTTTTCAAAGCAACAAAACTCTGGGTGCCCACCTCAAGAATCAACATTTAATAAATAAACAAAAAATGAATAATTTGAGTCATCACACTAGCATGCCTTCATTTCATAGCCAATTATATACTAAAGGTAATATGTTTATTTATCCACCACAGGTCACAAAATAAGTGACCAACTAGAGCAAACCATAAAAACATAGAAAACGAAATGTCTGGCTTGTTTCTAAACCCAACATCCGATTTACTATATAAATGCTGACACAACCTTCCCTTATTGCAAAATGCATTCTCATTTTGTGACCATACTCAAGACCACAAATCATTTTTAATGTAAAAAAATGTGACTTACAAAATGAAAGTGTATTTCCTCTTGGCTCTTGCCTTGTATTATTACTATAATAATCGTGTTCAAGAGACTCGGACGACTTATTTTTAGGTTCAGCCAAAATGGCCCTGTAGCCTGAAAGGAACAACCACACATATAGCAACACTTTAGCACATCTGAATTACCTGACCAGATCCACATTCTCCAAGTACCATATACTTAGAAACACATTATTCAGAAATCCCAGTAAGTGCTGGCTTTAGGAAAATAACTAATCTGTAACTCAAAATCTGCCATGATAATTGTGCCAAAGTTAACAACTTCCACATGTAACTAGATTAATTCTAAGTTAAGTACAACAGAGCCTACTTGGCATGACTGAGCACTGTCACAGGGTGCTCAGAGATGAGGAACCTCCATCCTTGGAGATATTCAGAAGGTGTCTGGACATGGTCTTGGGCAACCATGGTGTCCAAGTGGCCCTGCCTGAGCACAGGGATTAGGCAAGGTGACCTCCAAAGTCCCTTCCAACTTCAGCTTCTGTGATGCCTGTCAGGATTCAGAGATACTCCAAAGGCAGTCACCTGAACTTAGGTACTGTAACAGCAGTCTATGTATATATGCACTGATCTATGTTTTGTTTTTACAAAATAAATAGGTATTACTCTCAAGCTATCAACCAAATCAATTTTAATGTCACAGCAAAAAAGGAAATAGAATTTAACTGCTAAGTAATCTCAGACTCATAGTCCCACATGAGAATTGCCACAAATACAATTTTTGTAGAACCACTTATGATATATATGATGTGGAACCATGTACATTTGGGGGGAAAGGAGAGAGCAAACATATGCACATGCACATGCCAAGTCACTGCATATTTTGATTAAGAAAACACTGAACAGGAGGTTGATCTGGAAGGCTGCAGTTAGGTTTCCCCCAAAGCCTTGTTTCTCCTGGATAAGTTCCCCCGTCTCTCCTCATAGTCCATGTGCTTCAGCCCCTTACCACCTTGGTGGCCTTTCACCAAAAATAACTAAAATTCATTAACACCTTTTTGGTGCTAAAGCATAAATGACAGATGGCTGGTTATAAAGCATACAAAGTCTTTCATTCTGTAACAGATTAATCATGATATTAAATTAAAAAAAAACAAAAACTCCAATTAGGATGAATTTGTTCTTAAATAAATGGAATCACAACAAGATGTCCACGGATTATAGACTACATTTTATATGCAAATTCATTTTTTATCAAATACATTTGATTAAAATGCATACTCCCAGGGACACAATAAAATGAGGCTGTCCCGTGTACGAAGCCTACATTATAATAACGCATGAAAGAAAACTCTGTATCCATTTTCCAAACTCCTTTCACTGATCCCTCTTACAGTTTGGTCTTGCAAGAATGTAACCAAGTGGCTGTTCTCAACCAATACTACTTTTTATTTGCAATATAACTGTGTCAAGATGGGTTTACATCAAATAATTTACCTACAAACAAAACTAAAAATGAAATGTACATTAATGACAATACACGCTTATTGTGAAAAACTTGAAAGAATTCAGATTCTTACTTCGATCACACTCTTCAATTGCTAGAGCAGCTTGCGACGGTTTTAAATACCTCACATAGCCCAAACCTTTACTTTCTCCAGTAGTCTTGTTTTTAATAATGCTGCAATACTCAATGTCGCCATACATCTAGAACAATTAAAAAGTGTATTAATTTACAACATTTGAAAATGCATTAAGCTCCATCTGTTAAGCCCTTCTGATAAATTAAGACAAAGGCAATTTAGAGAAGCAATTAACAAATAGCAAAGTAGTACCTTAAACTTCTCTCGCAGATCTTCCTCTGTATAGGATTTAGGTATCATAACAAAGATTCGTGTAAGCTCCTCATCTTCAACATCTCGGTGGCTTCCAGAAGCTCTTGACTGCGCAATAAATACCTAATGAAATAATTACATAGACATAATTACATATCAGCAAGCAAGAAAAATTGTTTAAATAAGACTTTGCATCTTACACAAAAGCTAGCTTTCCCAACATGGAAAAAAGAGATTATCTCCGATCATAGATGCATCTGTGACAAAAGATCACCATATATAATACACCCCAAATGGTTTCCTGAACAGCACAAAGGCCAGCAGGATTTCTCACTGGGAATTATGCAGAATTATCAATACCAAAGCCTGATTCAGCAGCACTGTCAGTATCACCAGTCACATGTGAGGTAATAAAAAATGTATTACTGCAACAGGCCTAGTACAGCAGTCCTAAGAAAATAAGCAAACAAACAAAAAAGCCTAGCAACTTATTACAACCTTGCCACTGCAGTTCACTGCTCAACTGGGCTGAAGTCTGAGGGTCTAGTGCTCTATGAAGGATCATAACTTCTCACATCTGTAACTGTTAAAAATACTTTTTAATTACTGAAACAAATTTCACCTCAGATGTGCACAGCTGAAGACAACCAGGAAAAAAAAACAACCAACCAAACAACAACAAAACAAAAAGAAAAAAAAAGAAAACCACCCAACCAAACAACAGAAAAAAAACACACAAAATAACTGAATAAGGAAAATACAAGCAACATTCAAAGCAAGCCTCTTATGCAAAAGCAGCAACTGGTTTCACACAGCTCTCAAATTACTTTCCTAATAGTCACACAGGGGAGGAAGGAATACAACTCCGATTTTTTGGCTTCTAATAGCAAGTTCTTCAGAAAAGATTTTACTGACTCGACTGCATTTTCAAATGAAATATGTGGGATCTTCTTCCACTGTTCAAAGTTATTCATATCTTGGGGCATATGAAAACAAAAGAGGCAGAGTTCCATTAAAAAAAAAAAACAAACACACTATAATTGCTTTGAAAAAACTGTAGAGAAGCTACAAGACCAACATAAAATACCCTTGTAAAGGCAGTTGTATTTATCCACCCACACCGATCTTGCTTGCAACACTTCAAATACACCGGTGTATTTGAGAGACTTCCTCAAGGGTAAATCAACCAAACAAAACATTTCCGGGTGCTGTCTTTTCTCCAGGCCTGTGGCAGGTTACGGCATTCGAGGGTGAAACGCACCGCAGCTCCTGAAGAGCACCGCCAAGGCCGCAACCCCCGAACCCGCCCCGCACCTGACCCAGAAGGACGACGGCACCGCACCAGCATTACACGCGGAGAGCAGACCACAGAAGCGGGTCTGCCGTGCTCGGTGGCAGTTCGCTACCTGTTCCCAACAAGGAGAATAGCTTCAGCCAGGCATCCACCACCGCTGTCCCCGCAGCCCGCTCCTGGCCGACGGGGTTCCCACTTCCCCATGTAGGCCAACACTACATTCCAGCAACAAGCTTGGGCAGAGCGGCCGAGTCCTGCGGCCCCCCGAGGCCGCCACCCTGGGAAGGGGGCGCCCTGCCCCGGTCCCTCTCCCCAGCAGGATTCGGGCGGCACGGTACCTTGATGGGCTTGGTGTCGGGGGCCAGACTACGGCCGTGCATCTCCTCCATAGCCCGGCAGGCCTGCGAGCTGCGGGCGTACTTGATGAAGGCGATGCCGCGGGACTCATTGGTGCGCTTGTCCCGCAGAAGCCAGATGTTCTGGATGTCCCCGAAGGGGGCGAAGCGCTCCCGAATCAGCGCCTCTCCGGTGTCCTTGCTCAGCACCACAAACACGCGGCTGTTGGGAGGCTCGTCGAGGCACTCAGCGGACAGGCGGCAACCGCTGCTCTCCTCCATAGCGGGGCTGCTGGGGGCTGCCAGCTTTTCCCAGAGGCCGGCGGGGGACGGCCGCAACGCTTTTCCGCCGGGGAAACAACTTCTTCCGCTTCCTCCTCCTCCTTCTCGTCTCTAGCCGCGCCTCTCCCGCCTCCAAGGCCTAGTTGAGGGAGGTGGCCTCGCCTGCGGCGGGTGGGGTTTCTCAGGCGCCTTCCTGGGACTCCGGCGTGTCCTGCCTGGAGGAGCTAGGCAGCTGCTCCCGGGAGAGGCAGCGGGCGGGTGTGAAGGACTAAGCAGAAGCAAATCGAGGGTTGGTGCCAAGGACAGGCACTCACGGCCTTTCCCCTCTCCCTCGGCAGCGCCCAGCCGCGACGGTGTCGCAGAGCCACCAAACGGGAGGGAGATGAGGGGGCCATGTCCGGGCTGCTTTCGAATGTCTCCAAGGAGGGAGACTTCACAACGTTTGTGGGCCACCCGTACCAGTGCTCAGTCACCCTCTCTGTAAGGTTTTTCCTGACGTTGAGATGGAACCTCCTGTGTTTCAGTGTGTGCCCACTGCCTCTGGTGCTGTTATTGGGCACATCTGAGAGGTGTCTGGATCCATCTTCTTTGTTCTCTCCTTTTAGCTATTTATATATATTGGGCTAAACAGTTCCACTCTCTCTGCCTTTCTTCACATGAGAAATGCTCCAGTCCCTTAATCACCTTTGCAGCCTTTCACGGGACTCTCCCCAGTATGTCCATACATCCATGCCTCTCTTGTATTAGGAAGCTCACAGCTGGACACAGTACTCCAGATGTGGCCTCACCAGTTCTGAGAAGGAAAGGGTCACCTCCCTTGCCCTGCTGATGACACTGTTCCTCACACAGCTCAGGATACCAGTGGCCTTATTTGCCACAAGGGCACATTGCTGGTTCACATTCACCTTAGCGTCCACCACAATGCCCAAGTCCTTTTTTGCAAAGCTGCTTTCAGCAGATCACCTCCCAGCATATAGTGGTGCATGGTGTTGCTCCTCCCCAAGCGCAGACTCCTGGACTTCCTTCTTGATGCTCCTGTCAGACTGTTCTTCCAGCCTGTGGCGTCCATCTTGATGGCAGCATGACTGTTTAATGTATTGACCACTCCTCCCAGTTTTGTATTCTATGTATCAATATTTTCCTAATGTACTTCTGTTGCAATAATTTATTTATTTTTAAAGGGCCTTCTTCAACCAGTAATTCACTACACTACATGGTGACCAACCTCCTCTGAAACAGCACTAATGTCATAGAGTTCCTCTTTGAATAAACCATTTTGCTACTATGGACAACAGCATGGCTTAACATGGACTTGGGGGTACAGAGGTATTTCAGGGGGCACCTGAGAGGGGATCTCAAGTTACAGAGGCCCAGGGAATTTGATGTATTTCATAGAAAACAAAACCAAAAAATACCCAGGAAAAAATAGCTATCTGTAGGAAAATAAAACCACACCTAATAAATGTGAAGAATGAAATATTATTATAAATTTCATCCCTTCTTTGATAGCCAGATTCAAAAATAAGTAATTCCTCAGCTGAACACAGGAGCTGCCAGTGCCCTCGGGTTGTAGTGACCCTGGCCACTGTGCATCAAGAGATCCACAGCACAGTTACCCTGGGCAGGCGCAGGCTGAGGCATTGCTCGGCTGTGCTGCAGGTATAGGCTGTGCCATGCTGCATGCATCCCTCAGCCCCCAGAGAAACTCAGCTGGCTCATCATTACAGAGGAGCCTGTAGGCAGTCCTGGCTTGGTACTGGCCATTGCACATCCTGCTCAGCCTTACCTCTAACAGCACGGCAAGAAGGTCTCATGAGAGCATCATTTTTTTTTGGGCTGTAGAAATGTTAGAGTTATTTCCATGTAAGAAAATCGTACAAAGCTTGAAAGGCCAAAAAGGGAGAATATCTACTATGGAAGTGGTCTGCACAGCATGCTGTGTGTGAACTGTAGGCTCCCTCAGTGCTATACCACTGGGGCCTTCCACCATCTAAAGGGGTGTGAGATTATACTATTCTCCTCCTATAACATAAATAAATAGCATTGTAGATACTTCACAGAGGCTAAGTGCAGTTCTTACTGGGATCATAACGGACCAACACCTCCTGTTGCACAATGGGGTTAAGTGAAAAAATCAGAGAATTGAGGTGTGCACGTTCTTGCTATTATTTTCCACAAGCAAATTAAATATGTGTAAGTCCCTGCTCTACTTCACACAGATGTAGTTGTCAAGTTTGTATCAGGGAAGTTTCATGGAGGCAGGCTCTAGCAATCTGATGACCTGGATGAGGCAGTTCTTTGAGCACAGCACAGTCCTTGCAGTAGACTTGGAAGTGGCATTTTTGCGGGGGTTAAATGGTGTCCTGTTTGGGAGTGTAGCATAGAAGGTCGATGAGTATTTTAGCTGAACATACTTTGGATATAGTGGTTGAGTTTGGTTCCATGTGAAGGAGTATTTCAGAAAATCTCTTTCTTTGCACACCATTGGGAAGCCTTTCGAGCAAAGCAAGATTACAGCTGATTTGAAGAAACCCCCTGGAACAAACTTGCCAACAAAGTTTTCAAGTTGACAGGCATTCTTTATTGCAGCACCAGGAGACACAGGGGATAGCTCCTCCTAATGTGTATCACTGTATTGCTATACAGGCCATCCTTATGTAGCCACTGGGCACATGTACATGTTCACGAGGCTGCGTATGGATTACATCATTTTCCAGAAAGTTTCCCACATGCATACAAAAATGTGGTGGTGGTCTTTGAGAGTCACCTACTTCTTCCAACAATCTTCGTAACTTCTGGCAGTCTTTGAAGCACCAACTTAATTACATTACAGACACAGCAGTAATCCTGTCCTTCTACTTACCAGTCTAACTACTTCCATCCTGGACATCTGCTAGTCCCAGATACTCCCCATCCCTAGGTCCCGTTTTTCTATTCTGTTTTTCTTACACTTTTTGTACTAAGGTCCTAAGGATCTAAAACTGTGTCAACGACTTTCAAGCACCTCAGTTATTTTCCATTACAAAGCCAAACTTAACGTTACTTAGAACTGATTACATTTTGTGGTTTTGTGCCTCCTTGTCTCACAACCCAGCACAGCCAGAGCACTGTTTTAGGGCTGGAAGGCCATGTCTGTTCCAACACCAAACTTCACACTCGTTTTTCCCCATCTTCTGACACCATTTTTCCCTTGCACTTAAGAGTGGAGGCATGACGGGCCACAGCCCTTCTCAGATTGAAAAGCGAGCGTTTCGGCGTGGCGAGGGCCTGCGCAGCGAAGGCGGCATTGCCTGAGGCGCCATAACACTATGCTGCCGCCCGCGCCCACTAGAGCCGTTAGCACAGCGACACCCCACGCCTCCCGTCGCCGCACGACGGAAGGGCGGGATGCTTAGTCCCGCCCTGTGGGCCTGCAACGCACCAATCAGGAGAGAACCTGCTGAGTTGCCCTCTCTGCGATTGGGCGTCGCTCTGATGACACCTGCTGTCTGCCGGGGAGGCCGCAGGCTTAGGAGGGGTGGCCGGTGTTCCAAGTAGCGGAGGCGCGGGCTGGCCTGGTCTGGCGTGGCGCGGGCTGGCATTTCCTGCCCTCCGAAGGCCGAAAGGTGCTCGGCTCTCCTTCGTTCCCTGGCAGACGCGGGCCCGAGGGCAGCCTCGCAGGCACCTTCTCCCGTTGCTGGGACCGTTGCTACTGGAAATCCCCATTATCGCCAACGTGTCCTGTCAGGCAGTGGAGGAGTTGAATTCTAAAGTTGTGGAGACGTTCCAGGTAGCACAGGGAAATCCTGAGAGGTTGCTGTCTTTTATATCACTCTTCTAGACAAAACTACATTGACCTTTACATTTAGCATAGAAGTAGGTCTAGAAGAGCAATTGGGGAACTTCAACCTACCTCAACTTCCAAAGATAAGAACAAAGTCTGTAAAAAATTCTGAGGTGCAGCAAAAACCCCATGGTGCGTTTTCCTAATGGTAAATTGGATAACTTAAAAAGAAATTAATTCATGACTGTTAATAACCAGATCATGTTAAGAAATCATGCAGCTTAACAGTCTTCGAGACACATTTTGATTGTCATGTGTCGTGGTTTAAACCCAGTCAGGTAGCTTGTTCACTCACTCCCAGTGAGTAGTGCCGAGCTGACAACAATCGAGGTCCGTGTCCGTCTCTCCCCCCCGCCTCCCCGCACCGGGGCTCTCCCCTTCCCCGCTCCCGGAGGAACGGGGAGGAGGATCGAGAGAGTGCAACTCCTACGGGTTGAGACAAAAACAGTCCAGCAACAAATCACCACCGCTACTATCAGCTAAAACAATGATAAGGGAAAATAACAAGGGAAGAGAATACGATACCACGGGCCAAGAAAACGAGTTCCACCCGGAAGCCCCTGTCCTTCCGGGTAACTCCCAGTTACCCCTCACCCCGGGCATGACGTGCTGTGGTATGGAATACCTCCCCGGCTAGCCCGGGTCAGGCGCCCCGTCTCTGCTTCCTCACAGCCTCCCCTCCTCCCTGGCAGAGCATGAGCCTCACAAAGTCCTTGGCCAAACCAAAATATCCTTGTTATCAGCTCTGTTCCCGAGCTGAAAGTCAAAACACTGCACTGCACCAGTTAACACAAAGGAAAAACATGACTGCTACTGCGGAACCCAGGACATCATGCAAAACAGAAATAGTCTATAAAACCATAGAAGAAGATGATAAATGTGACCAAAACCAGTGAACTTATCTGTTCAAATTTTTATTTATTTAAAATATTCTGTATAGGTCAAAATGGGTGATGTTGAAAAAGGCAAAAAGATCTTTATGCAGAAATGTTCTCAGTGCCACACAGTTGAAAAAGGTGGAAAGCACAAGAAGGGACCAAACCACTGCGGTGTATTTGGCCACCAAACAGGACAAGCTGAAGGATTTTCTTATTCAGAAGCGAACAAGACAAAACGTAAAACTAATAGGTGACATGGATGAGGTGCAGTGATGGAGGGGACATATACAGAAAAGGCTTTCTTTAGAAGTACAATAGAAAGCCTCACAAGGAATTAAAACTGCCTACTTTGTATTACTGCAGATGAATCTGAGCTATAATTTCAGAAACAAAAATCCTAGGTCCCTATGT